ATTTTTAAAGTGTCACATATAGATTCTGTAAAAACCATATACAAACTGCAGGATTTTTTTCAAAAATGTTGTACGGGTTGTACGTAAATTGAATTATTGGGCGTGTGCCCGTCGTATGTTGTCGTGGAATGAGTGCTTCACGAATATACGACCGAGAATGTTTCTCTCTCACTTGCTTATATTTATTGAAAAACTCAGAAGGTAGTGACCGCACTCGAGATACAAGGTATAAATGCTTTAATCGAAATACAGCGTATAATGGTATACAATAGCGGCTAAGTCGGCCGCACGTGTGTCTCTCGTTGTCTCTGAGACGATTCTGATTCGTATTAGCGGGGACCGCGCACGATGGGTCGCGATCGGCAACGGAAGCCCCCGAAGGCAACGGCGAAGGACCCGACATATATATGTGCGGGTACCCGAATTCGAGTGGGTAGATTGACCGGGCGATACGCGTAAATAGTTTATTGAATACCAAACAAACGCCGCCCGCCTTGAAAGAATGCGCTTTCAAAATGAATAGAAGAAAGAATGAGCCGCAAGGCAAACATATAAGACTTATCAGTACAATAAAATAAAGATAATAACGCAACAGAATATAAACCATGACTGATAGCACTTCGTGAGTTTCGTACTCTTATAAATAGTGATTACAGTATCCTATAAATTATAATAATATATTTGTTTGCAAATTAAACTAAATTACTAGAAAAAGGAAGACATGAATATAAATTTTCCTATGATATATCTTAATAGCTAAATATTCGCGTCGTGACTATTACGTGAGATTGCATCTTAATTGCCTATATTAGTTATCCGTCGTTTGGATTTCTGAGGGTAATATCGCGAGCTGCGACAATGGTCTAACATAAGTACCCTTGGTGGTTTTTATAGTTGCAGTTCGTACTACATTGTCGGATCCGGGATGAATCTCTAAGACGCGACCTATAGCCCATTGTAGAGGGGGTAGATTTTGTTGTTTTACAAGTACGAGCTGATTGACGCGTAGTTGAATGCCCGAATTTTGTTTCCATTTCGACCTTTCCTGCAACGAGCCTAAGTACTCGCTACTCCATCTGCGCCAAAAGTGCTGTCGAAGTTGCTCTACGCGTTGCCATCGTAGGAGCCTATTCTCATTGATCTCGCTGAAGTCTCTGCAAGGAAAACTATTTAGTGCTGTACCAACCAGAAAGTGACCCGGACTAAGATAACACAAGTCGTTGGGATCCTCGCTTAGTGGCGTGATAGGGCGCGAATTTAATATAGCTTCTATCTCAGACAATACAGTCTGCAGTTCTTCAAAATTTAAATGGGCTTGGCCCACAATTCTAGTCAAGTGATGTTTGGCGGATTTTACCGCCGCTTCCCATAAACCGCCAAAATGGGGAGCGTTGGGCGGAATGAATCCCCAGCAAATGCCCTCGTTGGCACAGAATTGATTGAGATCGGACTGCGTTTCTTGTTTGTTATAAAATTCGTATAGTTCCTTGATTTGCTTTTTTGCCCCGACGAAGGTGGTCCCATTATCCGAGTACATGTGGGTCGGTTTCCCTCTTCGCGCAATGAACCGTTTGAATGCACCAAGAAAACAGTCTGTCGTTAAATTGCTTACGACTTCGATGTGCGCGGCTTTAGTGGCAAAGCATACGAAAATGGCTATGTAAGCCTTATGATTGCGAGAGTTGCGCCTGTTTCCTTCGCGTATTGTGACTGGACCGGCATAGTCTATCCCACAATGCGCGAACGGTCTAGATGGGGTGACTCGACCGGCGGGTAATGATCCCATTAAGGCTTCCGAGAATCGCGGTTTTGCCTTAAAACAAGTTACGCATTCTTGTATGATCTTTCGCGCTGCGGATCTTAGCGAAAGTGGCCAGAAACGTTGCCGGACGGCGGCCATAGTACCTTGCGTTCCGGCGTGCATATTCCGAATATGCTCTTGTCTAATTATTTTTTGTGTTAAATCGTGATTGCGCGGCAGCAAAATGGGATGGCATGCGTCAAAATCTAGGTTTGAGTTTTTAAGCCTACCGCCCACCCGGATTAGGCCATCTTTATCCATGAAAGGAGTTAACGGCAATAGACGGCTGCCTGCATTAATGGTCGTTTCTAATTTTAATGCTTCGTATTCTTTAGAGAAGACTTGTTTTTGTACCGCCCTGCACACGATTTCCGTTGCAAGTAAAAGTTCAGACAAAGATATTGTTCTATTTGGCGCGAGATTCCGTTTCTTAGAAAATCTCATGCAATACGCAATGATCCGAAGGATTTTGTTTAGACTTGAATGCTTGGTTAATAGCTGGGTGACCATGCATTGGTCATGCTTGACGACAATCGCGGCTATTCTTCTTTGTTCGGGCATATCCTCCCTCGGATATGTAAAACTTCCCGATGGCCACTGATTTTCGTGCAACTGTAGAAAGCTGGGCCCGTGCCACCACATGGATGATGCGATTAAATCATACGGATATATGCCCCTGGATAGTATGTCTGCAGGATTGTCGGAAGAGGAGACGTGACGCCACTGACTGATCTGAGTCAACCTTTGAATTTCTCCGACTCTATTTGCCACGAATACTGACCAGTTGCGCGAGGATGAAGCTATCCAATTCAATGCTATGGTGGAGTCCGACCAAAGAAATGCTTGCATGGGCGAGCCCAATGAGTCTTTCACCTTAGTTATGAGTTGAGCTAACAGAACCGCTGCCGATAGTTCAAGCCTTGGCAGTGACACGGCCTTGAGTGGTGCCACACGGGATTTTGAACACAGCAACTGTGAACGATATTCACTAGATTCGATGGTTGTGCGTACATATATACATGCGCCATATGCATTTTGACTTGCATCACAAAACCCGTGTAATTGCACGAGCTGTGAGTCTGGGTTGTATTTGACACCCCTAGAGATTTGTAGCTGATTTACAGCATGTAATTGAGACTTGAATTTTAGCCAGCTTGTATGTAATTCCTGCGGCACAGATTCATCCCAATGGATGCCGGCCTTCCACAAATCTTGAAGAATGAGTTTGGCAATTACAATGACGGGTCCGAGGAGACCCAGAGGATCAAACAAGCTGGAAACTTCAGAAAGAATAACGCGCTTAGATACTGCGCTGTTAGTGGAGTCTGAATTGTATGCAAAGTGAAAAACATCCTTGACTTGATTCCATTGAATCCCTAGTATGCTAGAATCTGTCTCGTTATGAATGGTAATTACTTCCCCATCACGATCCTTTATATTTTTTAGAAGTTCTGGGCAATTCGACGCCCACTTACTGAGTTCGAAAGATCCTATTCTCAGCAATTCTATTAGTTCATCTCGGAGTACCTTAGCCTCGTGCAGAGTATCTGCTCCCGACAAAAAGTCATCTACGTAAAAACTGCGCTTCACCTCTCTAGAGCCTACCGGGTACTTAGCTGCGTATTGATCGGCATGATAAGTAAGGCACCTGGTGGCCAAGTATAAAGCTGATGATGTTCCATACGTAACTGTCAATAGTTCGTATGTGTCGACGTTGTTAGCAGGGTCGTCCCGCCATAGTATCCTTTGTAGACGTGTTTGAGAAGGATCCACCAATACTTGTCTATACATTTTTATTACGTCGGCGCTAAAAACATAAATGAAGAAACGAAATCGGATCAGTATGGATGTTAGCTCTTGCTGCACTACTGGCCCTATCATTAGTGCATCATTTAAAGATAAGCCCTCGGTAGATTTGCATGAAGCGTCAAATACTACGCGGATCTTTGACGTTTGATTGTTAGATTTGAATACGCAATGATGCGGTAAATAAAAACATGAGGAACTCTCATCGGGCTGCAATTCTATTTTTTGCATGTGCCCTAACGATATGTACTCATTGATAAATTGTTTGTATTGCTCTTCTAGATCGGGCTGTCGTTTAAAACGTTTTTCGATGCCCTTCAAACGAGACATGGCAATGCTTCGAGAGTCTCCTAACTTGTCGATTAATTGATCTCTAATGGGAAGTTTGACCACGTATCTGCCTTGTGGATTTTGATGAATATTGCTAATAAAATGCTGCTCACAATAACTTTCCTCAGGAGTCAAATTATCGGAGTCATTTGTCGCGTCGTCTAATTGCCAGAACCGACTTAATTGATCATGTAACTGCTCGTTAGTTATAGATGCGTGTAGAGAATGTACCTTTGCGTGAATTGATTTTGAATCAAACATTCGTCCTGCTAGGATCCATCCAAACCTCGTTTTTTGTAATTTAGGATGCCTGTCCGATGATTGTATCTGTCCTACAGAGAGAAGATCCCAAAATATTTCGGCTCCTATTAGAATGTCGATATCAGAAGATACGTGAAATTGTGGATCAGCTAGCTTTATATTTTGTGGCAGTTCGAAATCCCTTCGCCTTAACGGTATGCCAGGGAGTTTTTCTGTAACTTGATCTGAAACAATACAATCGATTGTAGCACTGTATGAATCTATTCGCGATTGCAATTCGATTTTTACTGCTTGCGTGGCCGTCGTAACCGTTCCGTTCACGCCGGATATGGCTACGCTTAGTGATTTGGGAGTGAGGCCAAGCCTCGTCATGAATTTCCTTGATATGAAATTCGCCTGAGAACCACAATCCAACAGAATGCGACAAGGTCGAAGCACGCCCTGATGATCGCGCGCGTGCACCATGGCTGTTGACAATATGACGTTAACACTTCCTCCTGCGACGTGTGTCGCTACTACGGCAGAGGATTCTGCGGAGTTGGAGTTGTCGCTGCCCTTTCCTGAAGAGCTAGAGGAATTAGGCGCTTGCTGCGAGGCGGTCGTCATATGAAGAAGCGTGTTATGCTTGGCTTGGCAGACCTTGCAACCTCCTGAAGTGCATTTGCTAGCGATGTGCGTGTTGGAACGCAGACAATTGAGGCAAATTTTGCGAGAACGAATTTCCGCGATCCTTTGAGGAACCTGAAGTGCCAGAAAATTCTTACAGTAATAAATGGAATGCTCCCTCGACAGTAGTTGCATTTTAACTTGACGGTAGCTGCGCATGCTGTTTGACGCTTGGCGTGTGCCTTGGCACATCCTTCCCGTTGTCCTTGACGTTCGCGACGTTGCTAGATTTGTTTGTGACTTCGAGCATCTGACACTGTCGTCTGATAAAATCGAAGAATTGTTTGGACGTTGGTAATTCGTTACCCGTAAGCGAAGATTGCCACTCGCGTAGTGTGAGGGGATCGAATTTCGAGCATAGCACGTGTATTAAAATATCGTCCCAATACGCGGTGGGTCGCTTTAGAGCTTGCAACGCGTGTATGTGCTTTGTTGCGCCATCCGCGATTTGCCTTAACTCGGTATAATTTTCCCTTGTCATGGAAGGTAATTCTATAATGGCCTTGATATGATTTTGCACGATTACCCGTTTGTTATCGTACCGCTCTTTAAGAAGATTCCACGCTGCATTGTAATTCGCGTCCGAAATCTCTAGAGAATTAATTACGCTGCTCGCATCGCCTGTGAGAGAGGCCTTTAAATATTGAAACTTTTGTATGCAACTGAGAGACGCGTTCGTATGTATGACCGACGTGAATGTATCGAAGGACGGGAACCACTCGTCATATTTCCCCGAAAATGTCGGTAAATTTAATTTAGGTAAGCGCACGCGGGAAGTTGCGTCCGAGATTTCCGAAAGCGTTGCCGGCAAAACAGCGGCAGTGCGCGAGTGCGGGGGGGGGCTTAATAACTCCCTGATTTTAGCGGATACGGCATAAAATGCGTCCTCGAACGTAGCCCGATCGTTACCTTCGGCTTCTTCTAAAAGTTCTATTTGCGTCTGTACAGTGTGATATTCGGCCCAATAATGTTCTAGTTTTAATTTGCGCTCCTCAAGTTGAGCCGTTGTCGAGGTATTGATAGCAGTAATTGTCTCGACGTAATGTTTTATTCGCGTGCAGGATCCTTTGATCATAGCGCGTTATCTTTTAAGTACCGCGAGATTTTCTGTATTAGACATTGTAAACTAATTGAATTGAGACACACGTATTATTCGAATCTGGTTGGTACTCGTCACTAGATAGCTACCCTTACCTTACATTTATTTCTTATTAAGAAAGAAAACGCGTGAACGCTCGGTAATCCTTTGTCGGTCGTCCTGCGGGGAGGAGGGGGGGTGTCGTCGTCTCAATGCGCTGTTTGGCCCTCGATGCGTCGTTCGTCTTGTCGAATATGGCCGACAAGGATCGCCGTGACTGCCGGTTCGATTGCCCGTCCGTTGGAATTATGCCGTTGTCGCCAATGCGGGGCAATCGTTTGTACTCGCCGACGAGTAAAATAACCGCTCCTGACCTCTCCTTTGTTAGGACGTCTGCCGATGTATGGGAAATTCCGTAGGCCGATACCGTACGTGATAACTCGATACGTTGGCCTTTTTTAATTTGGCTTGCTCCCTTCGTGTTATATCCTCTAGAAGTTTGTTGGACACTACCTTGACCGAGCTTGCGGAATTCCTTGGATGAATCCGGCTCGAAGGACCAAATGTACGGGTTGTACGTAAATTGAATTATCGGGCGTGTGCCCGTCGTATGTTGTCGTGAAATGAGTGCTTCACGAATATACGACCGAGAATGTTTCTCTCTCACTTGCTTATATTTATTGAAAAACTCAGAAGGTAGTGACCGCACTCGAGATACAAGGTATAAATGCTTTAATCGAAATACAGCGTATAATGGTATACAATAGCGGCTAAGTCGGCCGCACGTGTGTCTCTCGTTGTCTCTGAGACGATTTTGATTCGTATTAGCGGGGACCGCGCACGATGGGTCGCGATCGGCAACGGAAGCCCCCGAAGGCAACGGCGAAGGACCCGACATATATATGTGCGGGTACCTGAATTCGAGTGGGTAGATTGACCGGGCGATACGCGTAAATAGTTTATTGAATACCAAACAAATGTGTTATTTTACCCGATGAAGATAGTTTTCTTTGCATTCCTCTTCTTCACAATGGTCCTCAGTAAATTTTTGGTGAGATCTTATTGGTCATTTATGTCATTACTTTATTTGTTTTTTTTATGTAAACTTCAAATTTATTTTTTTACAGTATTCTGTCATAGAGTTTGTGCCTCAAGCTGAAAGTGATGAAGAAGAAATCCTCGTAGAAGTTGTACCAACCAAATGGATTAGCGAGGACAGACAGTTTTGTTATTATCCGCCACGTTTCATGAAGGGGAAATGTATGAAGATGGTGATGAGTCTGGTGGATTATGATTCATCCACATGGGAACTGCTGCCCATTATATTTCATTATAGTTATTGTAAGTTTTTATCTTTTTTTTTACAGTGCAAGACTATATCTTCGTAATTTAATCTTTGTCTTGTGGTTTTTGCATGCAGCCACTTTCAATGTTGTCCAAAAAGCTAGAAATAAAGCTGTTAAAGAGGACACAATTGTAGCAACAGATGTTGAGACGGACTACAATCAACCACGCAAGAGAAAGCCGCCTGAACATCTAACATTTTCATCAGATTCTGAGTTAGTTGAAGAATCAAAAAAGAAGAAACTTAAGGAAAGACACAATATTCCAAAACCTAGTTCAACTTTGTCTTCAAAGCTCAAGGAATTATTCGAGAGTAGCAAAGCCAAGAATTCAGCTAAGTCTACGAATGAATATTTTGCTAATTCAAATCTTTTATCTACATCATCAAAGAAAAAAAATACAACTCTTGTTCGTCGATTAATCGCAGGAAAAGTCTACACAATCTGGTTTGTATTTCTAATTACTGGAATTTTATTGCAGCATTTAATAGTAGTAGACTATCCTTATATGCTCTTGTACTTTTATTTTTCAGAATCTACTAATAAAGAAAACTTGTCTGACAATGAAATGTCATCAACTTTGAGATCTCCAAATTCTTCTTACAATTTTGATTTATCTGAAAAGGCTTCCACTTTTGAGCAATCTCCAGAATCTCAAGATATACTTATAAAATCTGATTACAATAGTGTGAGACAAATAAATAAAAAAAAAATTCTCGAAACAAATCTACATCATTAAAAAAGTTTTTAGAAGGTATTTTTATTGATTACCTTATTATTATGATAAAAAATAATTAATTAATTTTGAATTGAACATTTTATTATTGATAGGTTCACAGTCTTCACCAAAACTAGCTAGCAGTAAGTTATATTCTCTACTTTATTTTTATAATGAAATAATAAAAATTGTTTTCATTGGCAAGTGATTATTTCTACATATACAATAATTTTATATTCTACATATACAATAATTTATGCTGTAAGCCTTAAATTTAATCCATTATATTCGATTATTCTTCTGACATTTAATTATATGATTAGTTTATTTTTTACAATTTACGGCTTTAGGTATTGACAGCCATAAATCAGATTTAAGGTTTATTATACCTGTTATATAATCGAACTTTTATATTAATTTGTCTATAATATAAAAAAGCCATCATTGTCAATAACATTAGTAACTCTCATTATATTAATTAATAAATTTGAGTAAAAAAAGTCGGTTCCAAAAACTATCACTTGCCAATGAAAACAATTTTTATTATTCGTAAGAGATTAATTATAATCACAAAATGTGTGAGAGAAATAATCGAATATGATTATACATATAATTAATTTTTTATGATTTAAAAGTCTGAAAGTTTTTACATATACAATAATTTATTATTATTGTATATGTAAAAACTTTCAGACTTTTAAATCATAAGAAATTAATTATTACAGTTAAAGCTAAAGATTTAGCTTTAAACGCAGTTGAAAAGAGATGGATGTATATTACGTCAAATACTAACTTGTCATTGCCGCAGTTTTTACATGCACTCTCGGTTGTCCTTGATTTAACGAGCTTTGGATTTGGTGGAAAATACTACGAACAGATTTTCGGTTGCCCGATGGAGTCACCCTTATCACCAATATTGGCTGACTTGGTCATCGACGACTTTGAAACACATTGTTTAAGCAAATTAAATTGTATACCGGTCTTTTATACATATGTTGACGACATTTTTGTAATAGCACCTAAAACAAAAATTGATGAGATATTAACGATGTTTAATAGTTACCCAGAACGCCTAACGTTCACGCATGAGGTCGAATTAAATGATTCTATAAATTTCCTAGACATTACTGTTGTTAAAGCGGAGGGAACATTGTTGACCAATTGATACAGAAAACTCACCTTTTCTGGTAGATATTTGAATCTCTTTTCCCCTTTCAGTATAAAATCAACACGATTAGAAGTCTAGTCGACAAAACTTTATTACTTTTAGATGAATGCTTTTACACTGATAACATCAGAATTATTACGGATATTTTAGTTAACATTTGCTTCCCGAGGTCTTTCATTAAACTACATATTGACAAGAGAATGAAAACTCTAAAACACCGTAGAGATTATATGATGGTTACTGACAATGTAAAAAGTTCGATACGAAATCAATGTTACCGTTACCTATATAAAAAACTTAAGCGAAAATCTATGTATTGCGTTGGAAAAATGTGGCCTCGACATTGCTTATACTATCCCAAAAAAATTAAATAGACTAATCAAGAAAGGATTAACTATGTGCAAAAACTGACGTCGTTTATTTGATTGAATGTAAGAACTGTAATGCAACATACACCGATCAAACGAAAAGACAATTAGCTACACGCGTAAAGGAACATTGTAAAAATATTAAACAACATCTCAGCAATTTTAACGTAATCAGCAAACATCAAATAAAATATGACCATGATTTTAATTGGTTGGAACCTAAGATTTTGCAAGATTTTTGTGAAAAACATAAAAAGAAGAGAGAATTAGCGGAGATGTTTTTTTATTAAAAAATATAAGAATAATATTAATTTACAAAAGGACACAGAAAATTTAAACCCGATCTATGATAAGTTGATCCACAGTATATGATTGTTTATTTATTTCGTTGTATTGTCGAACGTTTTTATAATCGTGTTTTTTAACTTTGACTTATGATGTTTTAAAATAATTTAATTGTCTCTGGTTTAACATTAGTAATTTTACTGTTTTCGAATCAACATCTTGAAAGGTACATTATATTTTATTTTAAATTTCTTTGTTAATAACTTTGTAAAATACGGTTTCGCATTTTAATCAATGTATATTTTTATTGTGCAGTTACACTTGATAAGGATCCGTACCTGAGGGTCGAAACGGAGTGTTGTAATAATTTGTACTGGCCAGTTATGTAAATTTTAATAAATTTGTATGGTTTACTCATCACTGGCGACTTCATTAATTTTATCGGTATTTAAATTATAATACATGCACATGTAGTTTTAAAGATACATAGAGCTATCTGTTGAGAGAGGTAACAATTTTAAGAAATTACCTGAATTGGTAAGTTTATCAATCTTAACTATTGTAGTATCCAATCGTACATAAGGTACACGAATCTTCTTTTCATCTTTTTTTTAATTAGAGAATTGACAGTACTCGTTTATGTGTTTTAAATGATGTGCCAGATTGACTTCTATATTTTGATCAGATAAAGATTCTGGATCGACGGAGCTAGCTCTTGTTCTACGTGTGGTTCTAACCATCGGCAATGGTAACTTAATCTCCAAACCAACATGCACAAGACTCTTACTGAAAATTATTTCAAATAAAACATATTACAATAAATAGTTTGAAACATATATCATGAATTCCATTAAATATAATTGTATTGCGACGACTTTTCTCGCCTCGGAGCAACTGTGGCGAGCAGAGGTCGACGTAAAGAAAGAAAAAATTATTTTTATTCTTTGAAGATAATTATTACATACGTGAACTGGGATGGTGGTCGCTCCGCGCGTACCGCAGCAGGATGCCAGCCGACGGATACGCGAAATTACTCGAATTTTTGGGCGCCAGACACGATCTTTCACATGTGCGTGTGAATTCGCGACACACGGAATAACGCAACAATTCGGAAGTCCTGCAACGGGCCGGCTGCTCACCTAACGGTAGAGGGGCAGGGTGTGGTTGCTACGACATAAATAACGCGTAAATTACACGAAGTACGCGCGAAATTGAGAATTACCCGATAATGAGGCGCGACAACACAAAGAGATATAAAATAAAGACGCGAAAGTGTACTGTAAATTGACTCCGATTTATTACAATAATAGAAGAAAAGAGAAAAGAAATAACAATATACAATATAAGGTAAATTGAAGGATTGTCAGATTACAAAAAAATAGATTAAACAGAAATATAATTTGAGTAGTTAGAAAAATTCGTAAAGGGCGTATAGTCGGTTTTACAAAATAGTAATAAGATAATAATACAAAAAATAATGTCCAGGGAATTGACTCGATGCGATATTTGCGCTAAGCGAGATAACTCGAATAACACATTGACTTGACGACACGAAATTTCCGACAGAGTTCACTCGGTATAACGGGTGTAGAAATACCGCGACAATCTATGCTTGAAAAATCACGTCGACTTTACAAACATCGGATATGCGACAACTCTGTAATATAATACTGACAAAAAGAGAACGGAACAGATAGTTTGGCAATCAAAAGAGTTATAAATTCGACCCGAAAAATTCTCAGTGATAATTAAAGATCAAGAGAGTTACCGCAAAATGATGTAGTTCGATATTTGCCGCGAATACGCCGGTGACTGACAGTTCACGGCTATCGCCGTCTCGCTCACTCTCGCGCGCACACGCTCTCTATCCTTGTCGCTTTCGCGCTCTCGCACGCAGTCTCGTCTGATGTTTTCTCTCCCTCGATATTTCGTTATACTCGAATTACGCGACGGACTAATACAATGATTATGCGATACGCTTCACTCACTCGTACATGCAATACTCGACAGTCTCATCAAAGCGCAATGGTACAAACACGTAGATAAACGCGACAAAAAATGAGACGGCGCGACGACAATGAATCCCCGAGAGGAGACGCCATCTTTGATTTCGAGAAAGTAAGACGTGTTTTCCAAGTGCTTTCTTCAATCGGGATAAATAGCAACGCTCGCGTGTGTTTTCTCGCATACTAAGACTGGAACAGCTTAGTTTTAGTGAGTGCTTTATCGGATAATTAGTTATATAGGCGTCCACCACTGCCAAACATACAATTATCCACAAGAAGTGACAGTGCCGGCCACAAGGCCTTTGTCTCGGTAAAAGCCACTACTTCCCGCGCTTTTCATGTCTTCTCGCTTTAGACTCTGTGTTCACCCTCTCCTCAGCTCTCATTCCAGCAATTATCCCCTTTCTTTTTTTTAGAATGAACTCCGGAGATTAGGGCAATCATACGGTCACCGACCAGATGATTATAGACACCTTCCTCGACAATTTACTAACAGAGACCGAGGCCTCTTCCACAACTCAACCCATGGTTGTTGATCCTGCAATGTCTTTTTCCCCCTAGGACTAACAATAAGACGATGCACAAAAGAGGTCATAAACGTCAGAATCTCGACCCCTCATATGACCCACCATGCAGCAAAATCTGCGGATCCGGAAGCTCTCTCATCCCTAGATCAAGGAGTGCTTCCACCACGGGTTCAGTCATCTCTATTTCCGAAGATATTCTCAAGACAAGATACACGGAGACCAATTTTTGTCCATACGACGTCCACATCCAGAGAATTTCTAACACAATTGCCGCTCTACATCTAATTACTGTGGGGAGACACATTACAAGTCTCAACATCTCAGGTAGTTTAAAAATTAAAAAATCAGGCTTCTCAAAAGTATCCATTTTTCTAAAAAGCGGCCAGGAAGCTAACAAGCTGGTCGAAAATACTAACTTCAAGTCAAAGGACTTAATTGCTTTTATCCCCCCGTCAAGGGTATCTTGCAAGAGAATTATCAAAAATGTATCCCTTGAACTGGCTAATCAATTGATACAGGACAACATTAGAAGCCCCTTTAAAGTTTTATCAGTTAAAAGGCTCAATCGCAGAATGCTCATCAACTCTCAAAGCAATCACAATAGCTTTCAAGACGGTTCCGCTTCATCATCTTCTTCACTCACTAGTCTCACTCCATCTTACACCGTCTCAATTACTTTTGAGGAACAGAGAATTCCCAAAAATATACAGATGTTTTACGTCAACTACCCAGTATTGCCTTATATATTCAGAGTCACTCTGCCACCATTGTTACAGATATGGTCACATACGAGCTTCATGCAGAAGAAAACCCAGATGCGCTCATTACGGATCTAAAGAGCACGACAAAGCTTCATAGTAGAGAGACTAGGAGAGTTCTGGACCAGGGGCAATGAGGCGGGAGGGGGGGGGGGTGAGGGTGGTAATGTCACGCGGGGGAGGGGGTCTTATCAGCAGATAAGCTTATCTTATCAACTCAGGTTACCTGATAAGGGGTTTATATTACCTGATAAGGGGCTCAGGTTACCTAAAATGTTTATAAACAAAAGATAAACATATATCTATTACAGCGATATCTATTACAAGATAAGATAAGCTTGTAATATATTTATTACAAGATAAGGTAAAAATTCTGGTTAATTAAATTCTACGAATTATTAATAACAAAAGGGCTGCCGCCGTTTCTTTGGCGAGCGCCGACAATCAAGGGGATTGATACGTGGCTGCTGATCTATACGTTATCTGTATATTTCTAAGAAATATCAGCGGCGAAAGTTTGCGTCATCGGGGACGAACGCGTCGCGACATGTCTTCGCTGCTTGTAACGTGTTTTCGCCGCTTGCGACGGGGTAAATTTACACCAGGAAGGTAACGGGCGGCTTTATCTATGTATTTCGGAGAATTATCAGCGGGTAGATATCGCAAATATTTCTTGCGAATTAACAATTGTTCGTACGTTGAAGAACAAAGGGTTGATCGGGATATATAATGAGGACCGATGCCGCTGCCGGGCCATAGTACGGTGACATACTAGTGAGCATACAGTGAGCATAAAGTGTATTGTTTTTTCACAATAAAAATGGAGAACGCGAAGAATGGTAAGCGAGACTTGATGGTGATCTCTGATGACGAGATGGAGGTCATCACGATCTCCGACGACAGCGACGACATGTACGACCCCGTGTATGACAGAGAGGTCAATATCGTCTTAGACGATATTGAAGAGATGGAGATTGAGGTCGTACCCATCGTTGAAAAAGAAGACGATGATGGTGGTAATGATAATGAAGAAGAAGAACACCAGCCACTCTACGACGATAGATATGACAGTGGAAATGGTGTTCGCGAGTCGTACCACTCGCGCACATTAGACGTACGAGCCATCGCATCCCTCGACGAAAACACGAGGGTATGCATCATGATGGCATACGTCTCGCCATGGGGGTCGATAAGAATCTGCATTCATGAGAAACAGGGAAAGATTCGCGACCATCGCAACCATCCAGAGGCACGTGACGATGCGGTACAGAGATGTGCCGCATCTTCACTGCATTGATTGCCAGGAAAGAGTATTCACACTCTTCCTGGCCAACATGTGCCCAATATGCCAAAGGTGTAAGTATATATATATATATACAGGGTGTCCAGTAACTAACGGACCAATAATTAAGGGCGGATTCTCTGGCCAATTTGGAGACAATTTTTCCTTAGCAAAAATGTTAGAAGTCAATAATTTTCGAGTTATAAGCAATTGAAAAAATGGGTATTTTTGAAAACTAAACGTTTTGGAGTTAAAAGTCTAACATAATTACATTCTTCAGTTAATTTTAGGTAGAGTTTATTATAATAAAATTTTAATTTGAGGCTTAGTTATAAAAATACGTAATGACAAATATTGGAAAGTTGTAAAAAATGATGACTTTTTTCGACAATTTCGCTGAGAAAAAATCGTTCCCAAATTGACCAAAGAATCCATTTGTAATCGTTGGTCCGTTAGTTACCGGACACTCTGTATACATATATATATAATATGTCAAAAATCTATAAAATAGTACAATAATATATTTCCGTGTGCAGGTGCCAAGGCACAGTCCGACAGCGATGGTTGATGCGGCCCTCTCTCTCGCCGAATCTCTCTCGCCGCGTGAGCCTCTCCACTCTCTCGCCGTCACCGTCGCAACACTTATATTATAATTAAGGTTTATTTTTTATTTTTTATTTTTTATATTTTTATTTTTATATTTTGTATATTTTTTTATATTTTATATTTTTTTATATTTTTTTATATATTTTTTTTATTTTACATATATTATTTTTTATTTTTTATATTTATACACACACAGTAGAGACGGTTTGGAGTCAATAAATACCGCGGGAGTGACGAATCGTGGGGTCCTTATTTTTACTGTGACACACGTACAAGCACACACGCACACACACACACACACACACACACACACGCACGCACGCACGCACGCACGCACGCACGCACGCACGCACGCACGCACGCACGCACGCACGCACGCACGCACGCACGCACGCACGCACGCACGCACGCACGCACGCACGCACGCACGCACGCACGCACGCACGCACGCACACATACACATGAGGTGTAAATCCGAGCGGCAACCTCCACGTGGTACACCTTGGATAATGCTAATGCCGGCGGTAATGTACAAAAAAATAATGAATAAAATATATATATTTATTATTATAAAAATATTTATTAATTTTAAAAAATGTTTCCCTCCTTCGATATCCCTCCTCCGATATCCTTATACAAAAAATAAGCGATAATGTACAAATAAAAAAAAAAATAATAAATAAAATATATATTTATTATTATAAAATATTTATTAATTTAAAAAAAAAATGTTTCCCTCCTTCGCGTCTCTCTCCTTCGCATCTCTCTCGCCGCCGCCGCCGAGTCTCTCTCGCCGCTACTTCGAGCCGCCGAATCTCTCTTTTGCCGCGTGAGCCTCTCTCCGCTCTCTCTCTCTCTCTCTCTCTCTCTCTCTCTCTCTCTCGCCGCCGCTACTTTGAGCCGCCGAATCTCTCTCGCCGCCGCTCCTTCGAGCCGCCGAATCTCTCTCGCCGCTACTTCGCCGTCTCTCTCACTCTCGAATGCGTGCGTCTTCTCTCTCGCGCTACGACCCGTCTTTTTTCTCTCTTAATGAGACCGTCGCGTGCGCCTTGTAAGATAAAATTATCGATTTTCTCTCGCTGCCGCCAGATCCAAGCATGGTCCGTCTTATCTCTAACCTTGTAAGATAAAAATATCGATTTTTTTCTCACTGCCGCTGCTGCGACAATGTCCTTGACACGATAATTATCTCTCGCAAAGTATGTAACGGGTGGCGCGCAAATAAAGTACACCATAATATACATATATACATATAAGTATTTATTTGTCTTATATTTAATACATAATTATATATAAAGTTTTATTGCATATTAAGAACTAAAGCTACTAGCTCGCAATCGACGAGTTGGTGCTTGTTGAAGGCGTCGCTAGTGCGTATCGCATTCGGCAATTTTCTAGCATCCGTTACAGTGGATGCAATATTGGAGAATTGTGTATACTTGATATCGACCGTTGCAATGAGTCTCGTCAATCGATCAAACATTATTTCGATGCATGAATCGAGCTCGAACATACGACGTAACGTCGATTCGACCATCATCATGCGCACGTCCGCTGATTTGAGACTTACGAGGGCAGTCCGATAAGTACTTAGCCTCATTGCCCGATGGTGCCAGTATCGCAAGAGAGTTTTACTATCGTGTAGTACATTCTCGTAGACAGCTACTGTCAAAATTTCAGCCGAATCGGACTCGTAGTTTTGTTTTGACCGCGTGTGGAAGCGGGCGTGTCCGCGGATTTTAGAAAAATGGAAAAAGATCAATATCGGTCGGTGATTTGATTCTTGTTTTTGGAAGGGAAATCGCGCAGCGAAATCAAAGATTCTTCATTTCGACATTTTTGATTTTGCTGCGACATTTCCCTTCCAAAAACAAGAATTGAATCACTGACCGATATTGCTCTTTTTCCATTTTTCTAAAATCCGCGGACACGCCCGCTTCCACACGCGGTCAAAACAAAACTACGAGTCCGATTTGGCTGAAATTTTGACAGTAGCCGTCTACGAGAATGTACTACACGATAGTAAAACTCTCTTGCGATACTGGCACCATCGGGCGATGAGGCTAAGTACATATCGGACTGCCCTCGTATGAGCTTGGTGTCGTTTATCTTGTGAAATCGCACTGTTAGCGGCACTTATGAAATTATACACATCGTTGTTGGGGGAATCATTGTTCAGGTAATTTTGAATAGCGTGACGTTGCTCGTAGAGTCCTTTTCACGCTTCGAGAGATAGTATTAGCTGTTTTCCCCGATGATCTCCTATGGCGATCTCCACGTAACTCGGCGGATCCATTCTAATGCTGATTTCGAGGAATTTAAATTCCGTGGCTGTCAATGCGTATCGTCTTCCTAGTATACGAACCGCACGAGGCTCCAGCGAAACGCTGTAAAAATTAGATAAAAATTATAACTCATAAAAAATATAAAAATATAAAATATAAAAATATAAAAATATAAAAAAATATAAAGAGATAAAAGTATAAATACAAAATATAAAAAAAAGTTATACCATACTTACTCGTCGCATTTCTTCTCGCATGTTTCATCACGTCTCGGCATGTAGTAATTCATGCTGCTGCTGCTTCTTTCGGTGCAGAACCGAGGGTATTACGAGGGTCACTATTTATATTTCGGGAATAGGAACAAAAACAAATAGTTAAGCTGCGAATATATTTTTATTGTTTTTCAAAGTACTCGCCACGATGATCGATACACTTTTGCATGCGCTTAAACCAATTTTTAAAGCATTTATTCCATTCCGAATGAGGTATCTCCAAAACATGATTTTTGAACGCTTCAATAGCTTCTTCGGGCGATGAAAATCGTTGACCACGCAGTTTATTCTTCACGGATGGGAACAAAAAGAAATCATTGGGTGCCAAATCAGGGCTGTACGGCGGATGACCCATCAATTTGATGTTTTGAGTGCTCAAATAGTCTCTTGTTTGAGCCGATGTGTGAGAGCTCGCATTGTCATGATGAAGAACAATCCGACGTCTCTTGTTTGTTTTCCTTATTTCACCGAAGATTTCTGGCAAACAGATGGTTGTGTACCACTCAGAATTTACTGTTCTACGATCCTCTAGAGGCACTGTTGCAATATGACCAGTTTTTCCGAAGAAACAGGCCACCATTTTCTTTGAAGTGCTTCGTGCGCGAACAACTT